TACTGTTTATATGCCTATAGAAGACTTTGGGATTTGCCTTTTCGTTCGCTGCGAGTCTTTTCCCATAATTCCTATTTTCTTCTCATTTGCTTTTTCACTTACCACATAAACCTTTCATATTCCTCTTAGTTCTCAGTTGTATTTTCTGCTTTACACCTGTCAATTGCATATGTCTTCTTTCTCATGTAAATTTGTGCCTTTGTTGATATTTGGGGAACTCTGAATTTGTTTGTTCTATCTTTTCTGTTGGGGGATCGATTGTATCTGAACCATCTGCTTATTGAAGGTAGCCCTTTGTTCAGCTATTGTTGTTTGCAGCCAACCTCTTATTCCAATAAATCATGCTGAACTCTCTTCTTACCCCATTGAAGTCAGCTCTCCACCAATTGATTTTTCTTAGGAACAAATTACTGCAGGTGCTGGAATCTGTGCTGAAAACAACAAATGCTGGAGATCACAGCAGGTCAGGCAGCATCCATGGAGTGAGAGCAAGCTAACGTTTCAAGTCTAGATGACTCATCATCACTTCACATCATCGAGACTCGAAATGTTAGCTTGCTCTCTCTCCATGGATGCTGCCTGACCTGCTGTGATCTGCAGCATTTGCTGTTTTCAATTTATTTTTGTTACTCTGGATTGTTGCATGTCATTGTTGAACACCATCCTGAATGTTATGATATAAAGATCACACAAGGAACAATGCATTCTTCCTTGTCAGATTGGACACATACTGCTGTAGAAACTCTTGCGAAAATACTCCAGGAACATTTGCCCTCACTGCCCCTTACACTACCATTATGCCAAGTTATGTTTGGGTAATTGAAGTCCCTCCTTGTAACTACTCTAATGTTGACACTTCTCTGCAGTTTCCTTGCAGATTTATTCCTCTGCATCCTGCCCACCACTTTGCAGTGTATACACTATACCAAGCAATGTAATGGCACCCTTATAATTCTCTGAGTCTAGCCAAATTGACTTTGTCCTTGAATCTTCTGAGACATCTTCCTTCTCCAGCAGTGCAATTTCACTCCTTAACCAAAACTGCTACACCATCTCCTTTCCTTTCTTTTCTATCTTTTCTGAACAACTCATACCTAGGAATATTTAACACCCAGTCTTGCCCTTCCTTCAGCTGTGTCACCATCACCACCACAGCATCATAATTCCATACTGCAGTCTGCATCTTTAAGTCTCCAACCTTACTTACTTGTGCATTACACACATGCACATTAACTCTGTTTTTGGAGTTCCTTTCTTTCTCCCATACTCTGACTTCATATCATGGTGAAAGTCATGGATCTCATGCAAGTATTTCGAAGAACAGTGAAGGAGTTAACCGTTGGCCAATATTTATTATTCAATCAACACCACAAATGCAGATGCTCTGATTATTGTCACATTGCTGTTTCGCCAGCTTGCTGTGTATAAATTAACTGCTGCATTTCCTACATTATAACCGTGACTGCACTTCAGACGTACTTCGTGAGCTGTAAAGTGCCTTGAAGCATCTGGTGTCAGGAAAATGCAGGCTTTTCTTTTTTTTCTGTTTGAAGAAGAGTAGGAAATACTCCTGGTCTGCTGGCTAAACATTCCTTGTTCAATCAGCATCCTGCAAAATCAATTAACTGGTCATAGATTCAGTGATATACAGCAAGAAAACAGACCCTTTGGTCCAACTTGTTCACGCTGACCAGATAACCTGTATAAATCTAGGCCCATTTGCCAGCACTTGGCCCATATCCCTCTAACCCCTTCCTATTATATTGCCATCCTGGTGCCTTTCAAATGTTATAATCGTACCAGTTTCCACCACTTCTTCTGGCAGCTCATTCCATACATGCACCACCCCCTGCGTGAAAAAGTTGTCCCTTAGGCTCCTTTTATATCTTTCCCATCTCAGCTTAAACCTATGCCCCTTAGAATTGGACTCCCCACCCCAGGGAAAAGAACTTGCCTATTTACCCTATCCATGCCCATCGTGATTTTATAAACCTCTATAAGGTCACACCTCACCCTCTGACACTCCAGGGAAAATAGCCCCAGCCTATTCAGCCTCTCCCTATAGCTCAAATCTTCCAACCCTGGCAACGTCCTTGTAAATCTTTTCTGAATCCTTTCTAGTTTCACAGCATCCTTCCTATAGCCGGGAGACCAGAATTGCACACAGTACTCCAAAAGTGGCTGAACCAATGTCCTGTGCAGCTATTCTTATACTCAAAGCACTGACCAATAAAGGCAAACATACCAAACGCCGCCTTCACAATCCTATCTACCTGCGACTCCACTTTCAAGGAACTATGAACCTGCACTCCAAGGTCTCTTTGTTCAGCAGCACTTCCCAGGACCTTACAGTTAAGTGTCTAAGTCCTGCCCTGATTTGCCTTTCTAAAATGCAGCACCTCACGTTTATCTAAACTCCATCTGCCAATCCTTGATCCATTGGCCTATCTGATCAAAATCCCATTGTGCTCTCAGGCAACCTTCTTCGCTGCTCACTGCACCTCCAATTTTAGTGTCATCTGCAAGTTTACTAGCCATACCTCCTATGTTCGCATCCAAGTCATTTATATAAATGAGAATAAACAGTGGACACAGCACCGATCCTTGTGGCGCACCGCTGGTCACAGTCCTCCAGTCTGAAAAGCAACCCTCCGCCACCACCCTCTGTTTCTACCTTTTGAGCCAGTTCTGTATCCAAATAGCTAGTTCTTCCTGTTTTCCGTGTGATCTAACCTTGTTAACCAGTCTACCATGAGGAACCTTGTCGACCACCTTACTGAAGTCCATATAGATCACTTCACCGCTCTGCTCTCATCAATCCTCTTCATTACTTCTTCAAAAAAACTAAATCAAGTTAGTGAGACATGATTTCCAACACACAAAGCTATGTTGACTATCTCTAATCAGTCCTTGCCTTTCCAAATACATGTAAATCCTGTCCCTCAGGAGTCCCTCCAACAACTTGCCCACCACTGATGTCAGGCTCAACAGTCTATAGTTCCCTGCCTTTTCCTTACCACCTTTCCTAAATTAGCAACACAACATTAGCCAACCTCCAGTCTTCCACCACCTCGCCTGTGGCTATCTATGATACAAATATCTCATTCCTGTTACTGGTTATTTGTGAGGTCAAGCTGTGAAACAATTGTCTTGTACTTTTCCCTACATAAGAGGAAGTGCACTGCAGATGTGAAGCACTTTGGGACTTTGAGTCCCTATTGAGAGAATACAAAAACAAATCTTGGTTTGCTTGCACAATACAAATGGAAAATACAGTTTACAAGAAGATATTGTGTATATGATGGGAATGCCTATAAATGAAGATGTAAAAGATTTGGATATAATTACTGGCTGTTTTCATTGTGAAGCTAACAATGGTGATGCTGTTCAGTACTAAGATGCAATTTTTACTAAGCAGCAGTGGCCGATTCTGAATCCAAGGATAATGAAGAAAGCCTGAAGATTAATGAGCATAATTTAAAAACTATCAGCTTTCTGAAGAAGCTCATCAGCTAAAACTATTTATTTTGGTGGAAATAAGACTGAACATCTGATGAGGGCTTTTAAATAATGAAACTGAAGCTATTTTTTCAAATTCAAAAAGCTAATGGGTAACAAAAATTAAACCAGAAAGAGGAAGAGAGAGTAACTCAGTAAATTGTGATTGAGCACTGCTTAATTTTCAAAATTGGCAGTTTTGGGAAGAAGAGAAAGGTTGATGAGGTCAGAGTTCCACAGTTTCGAGATCCTATAAAAAGTAATCTTGAGTAAAATCCAATGTGGTGAGCCCTGATTTTAACACAGTTGACATGGCTTGAAATTAAAGAACAGTCAGGGTGAAGTTCCTCACGATTGATGTGCCGTTTTAGAATTGATGAGTTGTATCGATTAAACTAGAGGCAAGAGAAATGAGACAAGAAATCATGAAAAGAGTGGGTGTGATGAGGTAAGTATGGGAGGAGTTTTGACAAGGAGTTGACACAGTTGCAGGGAATGGGGAGGGTGATGGGAGGAAGTGATGATAGAAGGGAGTGGATCTGGGCACAATCTTTTTTTTGTCTATAGGTGTGAGGCTGGAAAAACACAGCAGGTCAGACAGCACCAGAGGAGTAGGAAAGTCAATGTTTTGGGCCGAAACCCTTCTTCAGGACTGGGAAGGGGGAAGGGAGACCACAAATAAATAGAGGGAGGGGATGTGAGGGCCGGGGAAAGGGTAGGAGAGATCGTGATGGGTGGACGCAAGTAGCGGGTTATTGAGATTGGTCCATTTTTAAAAATTTGCTTTCAAATCTGAAGTGCAGGGAAGTAAATTGTGTCTTTGACTATCACTGATGGTGTTAATGCCTTGTGTTAGTGAACAGTTATGGTTTTGTAACTTTTGCACCTCAGCAGTCTATGTAACAATATAGTTTATTTTTTTAATACAGTTCTGAAATTTTTCAATGAGCAGATAAAGAAGCATATTCGCAGCTTCCATTCTGAGAAGGTTTACCAATGTACAGAATGTGACAAAGCCTTCTGCCGGCCAGACAAGCTCCGATTACATATGCTGAGACATTCAGACCGCAAAGATTTCCTCTGTTCCACGTGTGGCAAACAGTTCAAAGTAAGTGAATCCAAATGCTGTCCACAACTCTCACTGTTCTGTGTTTTTGTGTACATGGTGATCCACAGAAAATTCAATATTGTGATGAGGGGAGCAGAGATATCACATTTGACACATTTTAAACTTACATATTGAAATATTATTAATTGCCTCATGCCCCTTCAGTCTAAGACCGCTTAGAATAACATTGTTCTTTGGTCAAATAGCAACATTCAAACTTCACATTATCTCTCTTGAAATGAATGGGAAGTTCAGTTACTGGTACAAGACATTTGGTGAAAATCAAATCTCTCAAAGTAGGTGTGTCGAAGTTCTGAGGTTATCATGACCAGACTATGACAGGTACCAGCAGGGTTTGCCCATGAAATTACTAACCAAGTTGAAGAATAGGGCGAGATTTGAGAATAGAATAGAATGGACTGGCAAAGGAACAATTTAGTTTTGACTAGATTGGAAGGGATTTGCAATATTAGGGATACTTTCACCTGATAACAATACATTTTGTGGACCAGCGTTTAAATAATATTGCTTATAAGAAATGATAGTGTGCAATCTGACTATGACATCTTTATTACCTGGCTCACTCTCCTGGATAATCTTTTGTATAATTACACATGTTGCTTTTGAGTTGCTCTGCATACTTCTAGTATCCTGCCTTTACAAGCTCTCATTGCATTTGGGAAGAGAATTCCTATCTGCATTCCATTGCCATGGCCCCTTCTAGTTCCTTCCTCCACCTTGTTCCTCACCTATGTCACCCTCCCCTGCTGGTTCCTCCTCATTTTTCATGCCATTTTTTTCGATGAATAAGAACAGGAATATGCCATTTAGCTGCATGAACATATTCTTGACCTATGTTACTGCTGAGCACCCTCTTTTTCCTGATAGAAATTATTCTGTTCACGTGGACACTTTCAAGGTTTCTTTTCCTGTACCCTATTTTAGTTCTTAGAAAGAAGACAGAGGATGCTGGGCCCATTTAATTTCTATTTGACAGAATCTGCTTTTTATTTTTCATTTTTATATGCCTTTCTTTTAATCATAGAATCCCCACAGTATTGAAGCAGGCCGTTCAGCCCATCTAGTCCACACTGACTCTCCTAAGACTAACCCACCCAGACCTACCACCTCCCCTATCCCTGTAACCCTGCATTGCCCATGGCTAATCCACCTAGCCTGCACATCCCTGGAAACTGTGGGCAATTTAGCATGGCCAATCCACCAAACCTGCACATCTTTGGACTGCAGGAGGAAACTGGAACACCTGGAGGAAACCCACTCAGCCACAGAGAAGATGTGCAAACTCCACACAGACAGTCTCCCAAGGGTGGAATTGAACCTGCATCCCCTGGTGCTGTGATGTAGCAGTGCTAACCACTGAGGCACCGTGCTGCTCTAAACCCGCTGTGCTGAATTATGTTGTCTTTGTTGTTTATGTTGTCTTTTAACTTTTTATTCAATTGTGACCTTTTTTGTCAAGTCTTGGTCTTGCTCCTTGAGAGTATATATTGGTTTTGTATCGTTTTAATATTTTTCGCAAACATCTCCCATTAATTCAAATGTCATTAATTAACAGATTCAGTGACTTTACTGTGGGCAGCCTCTGTCTATCCCATTTATCACCCACCAGCCCAATCCACATTGCTCCCTTTGTAATATGACATCTTTTGACTGTAGGTAACCTACAGTGCATTTAGCTTTAAATAATGCCCTCTTATCCACCTCCAGATACGCTTTTATCTATCTGTCATCCCGTATAGTTTTTGCTCACCTCTTCTCTACTTTTTTAAAATCATTTGCAGGAATTGAGCATCACTGGCATAACTCTGTGACTCGATAATTCGATAACTCTGTGGCTTGCTCGGTCAGCCATTTGATGGGGAGGAATGGGGCTGTTGATTTGCCTCTGGAGTCATGTTTTGGCCAGGTAGAGAAGGACAGCAGGTTTATTTCCGTGAGGAAGATTAATGAACCCAATGTGCTACATGGTTTCTATTATTGATGCAAGCTTTTTATTCCAGGTGTAGTTAGCTATTTCTTGTGCTCTTGTAGTGGTTTTTAAACTGGATGCCTTGATCATTGATAATGGTTCCATGCAAAGGTTCCCCTAAATATTGTGAGTGCAACAAGGAGTAGAAAACTGGGATCTGCTGTGCAGACAGCAATGAGGCCATACACAGACAGCATTTCCTTAAAGTTGAATGCAATATGGCTGTGCAACAAGGAGAACACACATGGCATACAGAAATTAGTGGGGATACTGGGCTCAATGTTTGTGATAGGGGCCCCGAAAATTACAGGTAGTCCAGCAGCAAGTGGATCACATGATCTGTGTGTATCTTTCATCTGTGATACAGGCCTTTTATCAATACTTGGTTTATTTCAATAGAATAGCTAAGTGTGTGGTGTCACAGCAACCTCCGCCCTGGTCAATAAACTCCCTTTGAAGAATATCTTGCTTGGCCTCAGGTCAGTAACCCCTCACATTACTGTCTCCAGGATGAAGCACAGAAATTAATTATTCAGCATGGCTCAACGTTCCTTAATTTATCAAACTGAGTTGAAATGAAATGCCTGTTGGCAAGAACATTACATGTCTGCCTGTTTGTCTCATGCATTGACCTTGGTGTTCTGTCTTTTTTTTTGATAGAGGAAGGACAAGTTGAAAGAGCACATGCAACGGATGCACAATCCTGAACGGGAGGCCAAGAATGCTGGCCGCATTCACAAGTCCAAGCCTTTCAAACCCAAGATCCCCTCCACTGATTACGAGAGCTTCATGTTCAAGTGCCGAGCCTGTATGATGGGTTTCCGGAGGCGTGGGATGCTGGTCAGTGCTAGAAACCATTGAAATATTCGGTTAGGCTTTGCTCTGTGAACCCGTGTAACATGAGGGTTCCTGTTGCTCACCTCTCAGTTATGTCATCAGATTGTTACTTAGTTTGTTCCTTTGGAGAATTCGTCCAGATGCTAATATTGGGAATTAACCCATACAGACCTCAGAATTCTGCCAGTTTGTCTTCAATCAACAGAAACAGGTCATATTGTTGCAAAATATTTTGTACAAATGTCACTGCTGTGTAACTATTGGCGATGCGTAAAGAACCAATAAGTTTAACATTTGGTGTGTGTGAAGTACCTGATAAAGATGTGAAGGCAGTGGCCTGGTTTCTGGGAGTGAGAGCCTACAGATTACAGAAAATTGGAGATTTTTCAGGGAAATTTGCACACTGGTGATCGTTCTGTGGATATGATATAATCAGGTTTTGGCAAGACCTTTGATGCTGAAATAGTGTATAAAAGTAGGGAAGTGTTGCTGGAAGCATGCAAGGTATTAGTGAGACTGACCTGGAGGAGGGATGCATTTGCATTGGAGGCAGTTCGGAGGAGGTTCACTAGATTGATCCCAGAGATGACGGTTTTCAGATTGAGCAGTTTAGGCCTCAACTCTCAGGAGTTTAGAAGAATGAGAGGAGAGCTAGTTGATGTATATAAGATGCTAAAGGAGATTGACAAAGTAGACTTAGGACGTTTCCGGATGACACCAAAATTGGTGGTTTGGTGATCAGTGAAGAAGGCCATCTAAGAGTACAATGGGATCTTGATCAACTGGGTCAGTGGCCCGAGGAATGGCAGATGGATTTTAATTCAGATAAATTGAGGTGTTGCATTTTGGGAAGACAAACCAGGGTAGGACTTGCGTAGTAGGGCCCTGGAGAGTGTTGTCGAATGGAGAGATCTAGGCGTGCGAAGTTTGTTAAAAGTGGTGTCACGGGCAGACAGGGTGGTGAAGAGGCATTTGGCATGCTTCCCTTCATCGGTCAGAGCATTGAGTACTGGAGTTGGGACGTCATGTTACAACTGTACAAGACATTAATAAGCCCACATTTGGCCCCACATGTGTGCAATTCTGGTCACCCTGCTGTAGGAAGGTTGTTGTTAAACTGGAAATGGTGCAAAAAAGATTTACAAGGATGTTACTGAGACTGGAGTGTTTGAGTTGTAAGGAGAGGCTGGATAGGCCGGGACTTCTTTCCCTGGAGCATAGGAGGCTGAGAGGTGACCCAATGAGGGGCATAGATAAGGTGAATAGCCAAGGTCTTTTCCCCAGAGTAGGGGAGTCCAAAACTAGAGGGAATAGGCTTAAGCTGAGAGGGAAAGATTTAAAAGGGATCTCAGGGGCAAATCTTTAATACAGTGGTGGTGCATATATGGATGAGCTGCCAAAGGAAATGGTCAGGGCAAGTACAATTGCAACATATAAAAGACATTTGGACAGGTCCATGTAAAGAAAGGATTTAGCGGGATATGGGGCAAATGCAGGCAAATGGGACTAGTTCAGGAAAGCTGGTTGGCATGGACAAGTTAGGTTGAAGGATCTGTTTCTGAGCTGTATGACTATGACTGTCAATTAGCAAAATAAGGTAGCATGGAATGAAAAAAAAAGTTGAACACTGCAGCTGGGAATCTGCTGGAAATCTGAAATAAAAACAGAATATGAAGGAAATCCCCATCAGGTCTAGCAGCATCTGTGGTGAAAGAGACCAAGTTAATACTGTCGGCCTGTGACCTTCCATCAGAACAGGGAATGGTTAGCGGTGTCATAAACTTTGAGCAAGTGCAGGCTGTAGAGAGAAGGCTTGGGAAAAGATCAGAAAGGAAGGTCTGTGATGCTGTGAAAGAGAATAAATCATGAGTGATGATGCAAGGCCACAGGGAAGTAATGTGACAAGTAAAGTAACAAAAGATCGAACAAAGAACTGCGGCTGCTGAAGATCTGAAATTAAAACAGAAAGCGCTGGGGAGATCTGGAAGCATATGTGAAGAGAAAACCAGAATTAACATTTCAAGTTTTGTGACGTTTCTTCAGAACAAAAGATCTGTCCAGAGGAGGTGCAATTGGCAGAGCGATGAACTGCTGCCATTGGAGAACAAAGAGAGGTAAAACAAGGCAGTTTACCAACATGTGCAATGGGAAATAAAATGGGAGCAGAGGTTACAGTCTGAATTTGTTAAACTCAGTGCTGGGTATTGAAACATTCCTAAAACCTCTCTGTCAGGCAGAAGATACAGAAGCTTGACCACATGCATCAACAGGTTCAAGAACAACTTCTTCCCTGCTGTTATTAGACTGATGAATGGACCCTCTAACTTCAAATAATGTTGATCTGTTAGTGTTGATCTTGCCTCGCACACATCCTGTGCAATGTAACCTGTATGCCTCACTCTGTCCAGTTTCTTTTCACCCTATGACCTGTATGTCCTTGCTTACAATGAACTACCTGTCAGGATTGCAGATTGAAAGCTTCCACAAAGCAGTTGTCTGATCTCTGTTTAGTCTCCAAATGTAAAGCAGACTGAACTGTGAACAGCATCTGCTAAATTAGAAGAGGTACACATTCCTTGTTGTTTCACCTGGAAGAGAGTTTGGGCCCATGGATGGTGAAGAGAGAGGAGGTAAAAAGCCAGGTTTACCATTTTGTATACTCACCTGGAAAGGGGAGGGGCCTTTGGAGGAAGATTCTTGTGGTGTATTGGGAGGAGAGATAGTTGAGGGAGTGGCTGAAAGTCAGGAATTAGATTTTGGAACTAGTGGTCTTTTAGCATTATTTACTCGGTTATCATCTATGTCTTGATCTCCTTGAAGAAACAACATTTCAGGACCCAGCCTCTCCACTGTCTGATTGATCATCTTGTATCAGAAATTGATTTAATGAATTTGGTGCTCCTGTGTGAGAGATGTTAATGAGATCTGGATGTTATTTTTTGTTCATCGCCCAGTGTCAGCTTTAGCTGTTTGAAGTCTGGTCAAGTATGTTTGGTGAGCAGTCAATGTTACAACACTGGAACAGGTTGTTTTACACACAAGTCTATGCTGCTGATTTTCTCCACATGTAGAGTTCAGTCAAAGTGTCCTGCCCATCTGCATCCTAATTGAGCTTGCCCTGCTTAGTCCTCTTGCAACAGCCTGCTGTATAGGAGGACCACTAAGGCCTGTTTTAATGGGTAGACAATGGGTGCAAAATAAAAACCGTTTTCTCATGGCCATTGATGCCGGGAATTGGATTGAGACTGCCCAGATTCATTTCATTTCATTCCCTTGCAGTCAGAGGAGACTTTCATCCATTGGATGAAAACCAGTCTGGATTGAATCACAGAGGTGAGGCAGGTATTGTTACTGTGCCACTGTAACCAGGTTGGCCTGATGTTAAGCATCTCAACTGACAAAACCAGCAGCTACACACAAAGCCCCAAAGGTGGGTCTGAGGAGCAATGAATTATTTCAGTGGAACGTTGAAAGCTGCAGCCACGTGCTTATCACAGTGATTCATGCAGTGTTTGAAGGTTCATTCAGTGTTTAGAGAGAAACAGGAACTTGTCAGTTATCTGAGCTGACACCAACAACCCAAATTCAAGTTAAACCATTATGTCGCTTTGAGGAAGGTCGCTTAGACAGAATGGCTGCACTCCAACTGAATTGATGACGTGAAACTTTGATGCATTTCTTTAGGATGAATATGATGCAGGAGGAACTCATCATTTTGATGAACCTGTAGTTCAATCCATTGTCATAGGGAAGATGGTAGACAAATTCTTCTGGAGCGTGAAACTGCATCACACAAAGATATTAGATATAACAAATCATTGTGCATGGTTAGAATAGTCCAGACTTCAACTTTCATAAGAGAAATTTGGGTTGCATTTTATTATCCTCTTTTTTGAAACTATACCTTATTTATAAACAGAGCAGTCAATGCTATGTACACAGATGCCATAACCTGGCCTATCTCTGCAGCGCAGACTGACCTGTTTATCTGAAGCACTGATTTTTGCATTTGCAGGTTTCCTTGACCACATCAACCAATGGAAATTAACCAATGCCCAGAAAATGAAAAAAAGTGTTTACCAGGGAATACTTGTTCTGATTTGATTTTTCTGATTTGATTTATTGTAGCCACATGTACCGAAGTACAATGAAAAGCTTTGTTTTGCGAGCAGTACAGGCAGATCATAGTAAGCAAGGATACACAGATCATAGGGTGCTTAGACAGAGCGAGGCAGATAAAGATACGGCTGCACAAGAAGTGCGCAAAGCAAGGTCAACATGATTTGAAGTTAGAGAGGTCTATTCAACAGTCTGGTAACAGCAGGGAAGAAGATGTTCTTGAACCTGTTGGTGCATGTGTTCAAGCTTCTGTATCTTCTGCCTGATGGAAGAGAGCATTACGGGGGTGGGGAGGGGTCTTTGATGTTGGCAGCCTTTCTGTGGCAATGAGAGGTATATGGAGTCCATGGATGGGAGTTTGACTTCTGTGATGATCTTGGCTGTGCGCACAACTTTCAGTACTTTCTTACGGTCACTGCATGGACGGCACATTCTTGAATGTTAGACCTGGTGCTAAGAGGATGTGGACAGTTGTGGTTATACATGCAGCTCAGAGTATGATAAAGGTGGAGTCTTTTTCTCATGATGCTTGATCTCTTTTCCAGGTGAATCATTTGTCAAAAAGGCACCCGGATATCAGGATAGATGATGTGCCGGAATTAACATTGCCCATCATTAAACCAAACAGGGACTATTACTGCCAGTACTGTGACAAGGTAAGAACAGAAAGATGTAACTACTGATAGTGCTGTGACAGGCAGCTATGGCAAGGTGAGGATAGAGAAGGAGTGACTGCTGTCTGTACAGTGGCACCCCTTCTTCCATCCAGCCCTGGCCCACCAATTTTTAAGGTCCCGTTCGTTGTCAGTTCCAATGGAAGTAATTTCGACCTAGTGTTGACTCATCAGGATGACAGTCAACTTGAAAAGGAGGTGAAACAAGCAGATACTTAGCAGAAGGATTTTAATATGAGGTAGTGTGAAACGATGCCAGACTAATTTGATTGCCAATATTTTGAAGGGAATGGAAAAATAGAGGGACCTGTGGCTTCATGTTCACAAATCATAGATGGTGGCAGGACAGGTTGATAAGGTAATTCAGAAAGTGTGAGGGATATAAATGCTGGTATAATGCATTGAACACAAAAAGAAAAAGGTCACAGCAGATCTCTGCAAATCAAAAGATTGCAACAAGAGTAATGAAAGTAAAAGAACTGAGGATGTTGGCAATCGTAAATACGCATAAAGTGCAGGTCTGGCAGCATCTGTGGACAGAGTGGCACAGTTAGTGTTTCAAGTCTAATGACTTCCGCAAGAGATTTTTTATAAATCACAGAGGGAGTGTGCAATTCTAGGCACCTCTCTTCACAAAGGATGTCAAGGCCTGGAGAGGGTGCAGAGATGGTTTAAAAATAACACAGGAAAAGTGGCTAACAAGGGAGATTAGAAATCGTATTAGATCCAAGGAAGGACATCCAAATTGGCCAAAAACAGCAGACTGAAGACTGGGAACAGTTTAAATTTCAGATTTAGATGGATGCGTTAGTGATCATTTTCCAGCATTCTGTAGACTCTGGAAGAGTTCCAATGGACTAGAGGGCAGCTAATGTAACTCCACTTTTTGAAAAATGTGGGAGAGAGAAAATGAGGAATTATAGGCCGGTTAGCTTGCCATCGATAGACGTGAAAACGTTAGAGTCCATTCTAAAATAACTAATAGTAGAGCACTTGGAAAACAGTGACAGGATTGGACACAATCAGCATGAATTTATGAGAGAGAAGTTATGCTTGACAAATTTGATCGAAATTTTTGAGGATGTAACTAGTCATGTTGGTTGGGGTAGCTGGTGGATGTGGTTTACTTCGATAAGATCCCACATAAGAGATTAGCATGTAAAATTAAAACACATGGGATTGTGGCTAGTGCACTGATACGGATAGAAAACTGGTTGGCAGACAGGAAAGAAAGAGGAGGAATAGATCGGTCTTTTTCTGAATGGCAGGCAGTGCCTAGTGGGGTATTGCATGGATAAGTGCTTGGGCTCCAGCTATTCACAATAATGATTTTACATGAGGAAACTAAATGTAATGTCACCAATTCTGCAAACAACACAAAGCTAGGAAGAAGGGTGAGCTGTGAGGAGCAGCAGAGATGCTTCATTGTGATTTGGGCACGTTAGGTGGGATTAAAGGCCCATGAATCCCCTAAAGCCTTATGACATCTCAGAGTACTTAAGGAAGTGGCTCTTGAAATAGTGTAATTCCACAAGAGCTGTTCCAGCGTCTATAGAATCTCGAAAAATGACCACCAATCCATCCCCTCTACGTCCAAATGCAACAAGACAATATCCAGGCTTGGGCTGACAAGTAGCAAGTAACATTCATGTTGCACAAATGCCAGGCAATGGCCATCTCCAATAAGAGACAATCTAACCACTGTCCCTTTAACGTTTAATGGTGTTAACATCACTGAATCCCCCCACTATTGACATCCTGGGGGTTACCATTGACCAGAAACTCAACTGGACTTGCCAACTTTCAGTTGCTTCAGCGGCGGGAGTCCAGGAGGAAGCACGAGGGCAGCCTGGGAAGGTAAGCTTCTTGAATATAAAAGTCTTACCTCGCGTGACTGCAGCCTTTCAGTTGTTTCAGTGGCGGGAGTCCGGGAGGAAGTGCGAGGGCAGCCTGGGAAGGTAAGTTAATCCTTTAAAAACTTAGCTCGTGAATACGCGGAGCACACGCTGAGCAGGACCGGACACGGGACGGCTGAGTAAGTGAGGTAATATATTTGGGCGGTTGCTTTACCCGAAACACTACTTACGTAGTGTCTCCCACCCATCCTCCTCCTCTAACCAAAAAAAAAGGGTTCTGAGCACCAATTTGGTTACTAGTTTTTTTTTTCAATAGTCTGTTTGGGAATTCAGAACAGTGGGAATGGATGTTAGGGCAGTTGCATGCTCCTCCTGTAGAATGTGGGAGGTAAGGGTCATCACGAGTGTCCCCACTGACTTCATCTGCGGGAAGTGCACCTAACTCCAGCTCCTCGGAAACCGCGTTAGGGAACTGGAGCTGGAGCTGGATGAACTTCGGATCATTCGGGAGGCTAAGGGAGTAATTGAGAGGAGTTACAGGGAGGTAGTCACACCTCAGGTACAGGAAAAAGGTAGATAGGTTACAGTCAGGGGATGGAAAGGGAACAGGCAGACAGTGCAGGGATCCCCTGTGGCTGTTCCCCTCAATAACAAGTATACCGTTTTGGATACTGTTGGGGGGGGACTTACCAGGGGTAAGCCATGGGGTACAGGTCTCTGGCACAGAGTCTGTCCCTGTTGCTCAGAAGGGAAGGGGGGAGAGGAGAAGAGCATTAGTCATTGGGGACTCCATAGTTAGGGGGACAGATAGGAGATTCTGTGGGAACGAGAGAGACTCGCGGTTGGTGTGTTGCCTCCCAGGTGCCAGGGTCCGTGATGTCTCGGATCGTGTTTTTGGGATCCTTACGGGGGAGCGGGAGCAGCCCCAAGTCGTGGTCCACATAGGCACCAACGAGATAGGTAGGAAAAGGGATGGGGATGTAAGGCAGAAATTCAAGGAGCTAGGGTGGAAGCTTACAGCTAGAACAAACAGAGTTGTTATCTCTGGTTTGTTACCCGTGCCACGTGCTAGCGAGGCAAGGAGTAGGGAGAGAGAGCAGTTGAACACGTGGCTACAGGGATGGTGCAGAAGGGAGGGATTCAGATACCTGGATAATTGGGGCTCATTCTGGGGTAGTTGGGACCTCTACAACGGGATGGTCTACACCTGAACCAGAGGGGTACCAATATCCTGGGGGGGAAATTTGCTAATGCTCTTCGGGAGGGTTTAAACTAATTCAGCAGGGGGATGGAAACCTGAATTGTAGCTCCAGCGTACAGGAGGTTGAGAGCAGTGAGGTCATGAATAAGGTTTCAAGGTCGCAGGAGTGTACCGGCAGGCAGGAAGGTGGTTTGAAGTGTGTCTACTTCAACGCCAGGAGCATCCGGAATAAGGTGGGTGCACTTGCAGCATGGGTTGGTACCTGGGACTTCGATGTTGTGGCCATTTCGGAGACATGGATAGAGCAGGGACAAGAGTGGTTGGTGTGGCATTGTTAGTCAAGGACAGTATTACGGTGGCAGAAAGGACGTTTGATGAGGACTCGACTACTGAGATAGTATGGACTGACGTTAGAAACAGGAATTAAGAGGTCACCCTGTTGGGAGTTTTCTACAGGCCTCCGAAAAGTTCCAGAGATGTAGAGGAAAGGATTGCAAAGACGATTCTGGATAGGAGCGAAAGTAACAGGGTAGTTGTTATGGGGGACTTTAACTTTCCAAATATTGACTGGAAATGCTATAGTTCGAGTACTTTAAATGGGTCAGTTTTTGTCCAATGTGTGCAGGAGGGTTTGCTGACACAGTATGTAGATAGGCCAACAAGAGGCGAGGCCACATTGGATTTGGTACTGGGTAATGAACCAGGCCAGGTGTTAGATTTGGAGGTAGGTGAGTACTTTGGTGATAGTGACCACAACTTGATTACATTTACTTTAGCGATGGAAAGGGATAGGTATATACCGCAGGGTAAGAGTTATAGCTGGGAGAAAGGCAATCATGAGGCGATTAGGCAAGATTTAGGATGAATAGGATGGAGAAGGAAAGTGCAGGGACTGGGCACAATTGAAATGTGGAGCTTGTTCAAAGAACAGCTACTGCGTGTCCTTGAGAAGTATGTACCTGTCAGGCAGGGAGGAAGTGGTCGAGAGAGGGAACCGTGGTTTACTAAAGAAGTTGAATCTCTTCTCAAGAGGAAGAAGGAGGCTTATGTAAAGATGAGGCGTGAAGGCTCAGTTAGGGCACTTGAGAGTTACAAGTTAGCCAGGAAGGACCTAAAGAGAGAGCTAAGAAGAGCCAGGAGGGGACATGAGAAGTCTTTAGCAGGTAGGATCAAGGAAAACCCTAAAGCTTTCTGTAGGTAAGTCAGGAATAAAAGAATGACTAGAGTAAGATTAGGGCCAGTTAAGGACAGCAGTGGGAAGTTGTGCGTGGAGTCCGAAAAGATAGTAGAGGCGCTAAATGAATATTTTTCGTCAGTATTCACACAGGAAAAAGACAACGTTGTTGAGGAGAATACTGAGATACAGGCTATTAGACTAGACGGGATTGAGGTTCATAAGGAGGAGGTGTTAGCAATTCTGGAAGGTGTGAAAATAGATAAGTCCCCTGGGCTGGATGGGATTTATGCTAGGATTCTCTGGGAAGCTAGGGAGGAGATTGCAGAGCCTTTGGCTTTGATCTTTATGTCGTCATTGTCTACAGGAACAGGGCCAGAAGACTGGAGGATAGCAAACGTTGTCCCCTTGTTCAAGAAGGGGAGTAGAGACAACCCTGGTAATTATAGACCAGTGAGCCTTACTTCGGTTGTGGGTAAAGTATTGGAAAGGATTATAAGAGATAGGATTTATAATCATCTAGAAAAGAATAATTTGCTTAGGGACAGTCAACACGGTTTTGTGAAGGGTAGGTCGTGCCTCACAAACCTTATTGAGTTCTTTGAGAAGGTGACCAAACAGGTGGATGAGGGTAAAGCGGTTGATGTGGTGTATATGGATTTCAGTAAACCGTTTGATAAGGTTCCCCACGATAGGCTATTGCAGAAAATACGGAGGCATGGGATTGAGGGTGATTTAGCGGTCTGGATCAGAAATTGGCTAGCTGTAAGAAGACAGAGGGTGGTGGTTGATGGGAAATGTTCATCCTGGAGTTCAGTTACTAGTGGTGTACCGCACGGATCTGTTTTGGGGCCACTGCTGTTTGTCATTTTTATAAATGACCTGGATGAGGGCGTAGAAGGATGGGTTAGTAAATTTGCACATGACACAAAAGTCGGTGGAGTTGTGGATAGTACGGAAGGATGTTGCAGGTTGCAGAGAGACATAGATAAGCTGCAGAGCTGGGCTGAGAGGTGGCAAATGGAGTTTAATACGGAAAAGTGTGAGGTGATTCACTTTGGAAGGAGTAACAGGAATACAGGAATGCACTTGGAGTGTTGCGTACAGTTCTGGTCGCCACATTATAGGAAGGATGTGGAAGCATTGGAAAGGGTGCAGAGGAGATTTACCAGGATGTTGCCTGGTATGGAGGGAAGGTCTTATGAGGAAAGGCTGAGGGACTTGAGGCTGTTTTCGTTAGAGAGAAGAAGGTTAAGAGGTGACTTAATAGAGACATACAAGATGATCAGAGGATTTGATAGGGTGGACAGTGAGAGCCTTTTTCCTCGGATGGTGATGGCTAGCACGAGGGGACATAGTTTTAAATTGAGGGGTGATAGATATAGGACAGATGTCAGAGGTAGGTTCTTTTCTCCGAGTAGTAAGGGCGTGGAATGCCCTGCCTGCAACAGTAGTAGACTCGCCAACTTTAAGGGCATTTATATGGTCATTGGATAAACATCTGGATGATAATGGAATAGTGTAGGTTAGATGGGCTTCAGGTTGGTTTCACAGGTCGGCGCAACATCGAGGGCCGAAGGGCCTGTACTGCGCTGTTATGTTCTCTGTTCTAAATTTAATGCAATAGCTACAAGAGCAAGTCAGAGGCTTGGAAGACTGCAGCAAGTGGCTCACCTCCTGACTCCTCAAAGCTTATCCATCGTCTACAAGGCATAAGTCAGGAGTGTGATGGAATACTTCCCACTTGCCTGGATACTCCAATAACTCTCAAGAAGCTTGACACTAACATTCACTCCCTCCATCAGCAAAGCTCAGTAGCAGCAGTGTGTACTATTTACAAGATTCGTCGCAGAAATTTACCAAAGATCCTGAGACGGCACCTTCCAAACGCGGACACATGGGAACACCATCACCTGCAATTTCACTTCCAAGCGACTGACCATTCTGAGTTGGAAATACCTCACTGTTCCTTCACTGTCACTGGGTCAAAATTCTGGAATTCCCTCCTTAATGACATTGTTAGTCTACCTACAGCCCTTGGACTGTATTGGTTCAAGAAAGCAGCTCACTATCACCTTCTCAAGAGCAGCTCGGGACTGGCAATAAATGCTGGCTCAGCATGCGATGCTCAAGTCCCACATGTGAAGAAAACTAAAGGGAATTGACAAATGCGTAACAGATTCTGAATAATGTTGGTAATTGAGAGCTTATCCATTTTGGTAGCAAAAACAGGAAAGTGGATTATTATTTGAATGCTGATGGATTGAGAAAGGGTTCAACACAACATGGGTATCCTTGTACACCAGGCACTGAGGCTAACCATGCATTTGCAGCAGACGGTAGAAAGCCTTCATAACGAGCAGGGATATCTTGCTGCAATTATGCAGAGCCTTGGTGAGACCACAGCTGGAATGTTTTGTGCGGTTTTCGTCTCTATCCGGGTCGGGTTGGTCTGGCCATGGACGGAGTGCAGCAAAGACTGATTCCTGGGATGATGGGACCGATGTTCAAAGAGAGTTTGATCAGTTAGGACTATATACATTTAGGAGAATCAGGGGGACCTCATAGAAACTAATAAAATTCTAAAACGTCTGGACAGGGTAAATGCAGAAAGGGTGTTCCTGATGACAGGCATATCGTTGGCCACGAATGAGAGTCCAGGATGGTATGTTGCCTCCCTGGTGCTAGGGTCAAGGATGTCTCACAGCGGGTACAGGATATTCTGAAGGGGGAGGATGAACAGCCAGCGGATGTGGTACACATCGGTACAAACGAGATAGGTTTTTAAAAAAAAAAGGATGAAGTCCTAAAGACAGAATACAGGGAGCTAGGAAAAAAGTTAAGATAGCGGACCTCAAAGGTAGTGATCTCAGAATTCCTACTGGTGCCACATGCTCGTCAGAGGAGAAATGACAGGATATACCGGATGAATACGTGGCTGCAAAGATGGTGTCGGGGGAGGGTTTCAGATTCCTGGGGCATTGGGACTGGTTCTGGGGGAGGTGGGACCTGTACAAATTGAATGGGTTACACCTGGGCAGGACTGGGACTGAAGTCCCAAGCAACTAGATATAGCACTTCAGGCGAATGGGATCAAAGGTGATAGGTAGAAAGCAGGATTAGGCTATTGAGTTGGACAATCAGCCATGATCGTGATGAATAATGGAGCAGGGTTGAAGATCAGAATGGCTTCCTCCTGCTCCTGTCTTCTATGTTTCTATGACGAGGGAGTCCAGATTCAGTGGTCACATTGTAAGATTATAGGGAAGTCCATTTAGAACCGAGATGAAGAGAAACTTCTTCACCCATGGAATGGTGAGCCTGTGGAATTCTCTGCCGCAGAAAGTGGTTGAGGCCAAAACATTAAATCTTTTTGAGAAGGAGGTAGATTTAATCTTTGGGCTAAAGGGATGAAAGCATATGGGCGTAAAATGGGAGCAGAGTACCGAGTTGAACATATTGAATGCTGGAGTGGGCACAAAGAGCTGAAAGCTCTACTGTTGCTATTTCACCAGGATAAAAACAGGGATGAGGAAATTCAGTAACATGGAGAAGTTGGACAAGTTTGGATTTTTCTCCTGTGTCTGGGCGAATACTGCATTATTTTTCACTTTTGGATAGCTAGAGAATCTTTTGCATATGATATTAAACTGAGGCTCCACTCACCTGCTCTGAGATCCCAGGTCATTTTGAGGAGAAGCGCAAATATCCTGGCGAATATTTATCCCTCAGATGATCTGGTCATTTTCACATTTCTCCATGCTGCTGCATTTCCTACATTTCAACAATGACTGTAAAGCACTTTAAAATTTTCAGTGATTGTAAGAGGTGCTGTAGGAATGCATGTATTCTTTTATTTTTCTTTGAAGGATGTGATATTCCAATTCTGGATTTGGAAAATGTTAAAATTATCACCAGCTTTATCTTCCAGAATCATGAGACTTCCCCACCGAATTATGTTTGTCTTTATATTGTTTCTTTTCGTTCTTGTATTTTACTCATTCATGCTTCCTACAGTCTTGTTTTTCATTCTGTGTCTCCTTAACTGTCCCGTTGCTTTGTCATGGTGAACGAAAGCTGGAAAGTGCACGTATGTGTGGTAATGTGCGTGGTCCCATTTGGACTGACCCTGCTCAGGACTATGCATTATAGGAGAAATGTTTAGGACATTTTGCCTTGTACCTGTAATAATAACTTAAATTTTGTGTTTGTGTAATAGGTGTACAAGAGTGCCAGTAAACGTAAAGCCCATATCCTGAAGAACCACCCGGGGGCTGAACTTCCCCCAAGTATCCGTAAGCTGCGACCTGCAGCTCCAGGGGAGCCTGATCCAATGCTGAGCACACACACACAGTTAAAAGGCACCATTGCCACTCTCCCTGTCTGCTGTCCACATTGCTGTAAACAGTACAGCAGCAAGGTGAGTGCTGCTGGAGTCAGTACACGACTGACTCTTGGTGATGATCTCTGAGGTTGAAGGTCTTGGCAGTTTTGATTGAAAGGGCTAGTTGGAATGGTTACCTGCTGACATTTTCAAACCTTCTTTCTCCTTTTACTGGCATTTTCATCATTTTTATATACGGGTAATAGAATTAGATTTTTAGAATTAGATTTTATTTTTTCTTTTTATTTTAACGTCACGTATTGTACAGTAAGAATACAATAAAATACAGTGAAAAGCTTTAATTTGTCGCCACAACATGGCGCTATTTTGAATAATTTAAGAATAAGGATAAAGAAAGAACGACATAGCTTAAAGAGAGCCCATCAGTCACATGCCAGCTCATTACTATCAACGATGCCCACGCCACAATCCGTCTGCCACCTCTTCACTGCCGTCTATAACAGACCCAACCAGCATCAAAGTTGCCGATCCTGAGGCTCCATCTTTGCCACTGGGCCGATACTCCTCTGCCACCACCTCACTGCTGCCTGCTCTGGACCAACCATAGAATAGAATCCCTATAGTGTGGAAACAGGCGATTTGGCCCAACAAGTGCACACCGACCCCGCGAAGAGCATTCTGCACAGACGCAGTCCCCCCACCCTATAACCCTGCATCTCCCCTGGCTGACCTACACTGAACACTATGGGTAATTTAGCATAGCCAACCCACCTAACTTGCACATCTTTTGACTGTGGGAGGAAACCGGAGCACCTGGCGGACAAAGGGAGAACATGCAAACTTCACGCAGACAGTTGCTGAAGGGTGGAACTGAACCCAAGTCCCTAGCGCTGTGAGGCAACATGCTAACCACTGAGCCACCATACCACCCTGATGTCAGAATCGCATCTCTCGCTGCTGGGCCCACTTCATCAACGTTGCCATGATGCCCTTCCACCACCGCTTCGCTGCCACCAGAGCTGAACACAACCAACAACAAAGTCACTGATCCTCAGGCACCATCTTTTGCCGGTGAGCCTACCTCGCCTACCTCGCCAACATCGCCTCTGCCTGCTAATTCCAGGACTGTGCTTGCCCTGGAAAAGTAAATAGGGGCCCACTCAAGGTCTGAGTAGGCTTGCCTGAGGTCCATGCCCTGGGCCCCCTTGAAACTGCTTGACCTCCACGCCCTGGGTCTGCTTGAGGTTGGCACCCTGGGTCGGCTCGAAACTGCTTGACATCCACGCTCTGGGTTTGCTCGAGGTCCACGCTCTCGCCACCGCCGATATCTTCCAAGCTCAGGACAAGGTAAGTAAGTAAAGAAAAGAGAGGAAAGAAAAAGAAAGAAAAGTGGTCAGAGCAGATGAGCTCTGGCACAGGAGCCCTACTCTGCTGCCATCTTGGACTGGAACAAATTTATTGTCACATGTACTCGAGGTGTAAGAATACACGAGTGGGGTGAAATGTGTACAAAGTCACCATTCTCCAGTGCCATCTTGGTCACAAAACCAGACATTGCAAAAAAAAACATTTTTTTATAAAAGCCAGAGGATAAGAAAGCGTCTAGATCATAAAGTCTAAAGTCTTATCTCCCTAAAAGGTCTTGGAATGCTCAGCCACGGTCTTGAGTCTAAGTCAGCCCCATTGATCACCGGGGCAGGGTGGGGGGGAGCCACATTCTTGTTGCTGCTGCCCCCCCGATCGCCAGGCAGGGCTTTGCTACTGCTGCCCCCCGATCGC